GAAAGCACTCCCAGCCCCATGGGAGGGGACGGTGACCGACCTGGCCCCGGTCCTTCCCTATTTGGTGGCTCCGGCAACCATGAGTCAGGGCGAAGCTGTTATCTCAAGGCGTGGGGCTGTGGGGTGGCACCTGGGCCATGGCGGTGGCAGGAGGATGGGGAGATGGGCACCCGACGTGGGCTGGGGAGGGTCCGGAGGGTGTCTGGTCAGGGTGTCAAAATGTGTCCCCTGCCCTGCTACCTGCCAGGGCTTGCCTGGACATGCTGGGACTTGCCTTGCAATGAGGTCACCCTGTTTACGCGCTCCCACTGCCAGCAGATAGGAAGCTGGATTTCTATTTTTACTCGGGGATGCTCGGTCTGGGTTGGGAGCGGCGCCGGACAGAGGGTCCGAGTGGCCCCCTGGATGGAGTGTGGCCCCCCGCAGCGCCCCGGCTGGAGGCTCTCCAGTTGCCCGCTGGCCCATGGTGCTGGTGGCGTGGCTGGTAATGCGGCGCAGGTGAGCCGGAGGGGCTGAGGGTGCTGAATTTGGGCAGAAATCTTCCCTGCAGGAGACTGAGCACCCCATCCCTGGGGACACTCAGGGGCACAAGCTTGGGGGTCTGTCGTGGTGCCGCCTTTGGGAGTCCCGGATCGGGTGGACAATGAGGAAGGTGTCTTGCGTGCAGGGATTTAATTTTGGCGAATCTTTTTTTAAAGCAGATATAATGAGCGCAGCTCTCCAAGCGGGGTCAAACCTTACCTCCAAAAGCTGTGAAATCCCAGAGCGTTGTTTGCTCTGCTCTGATAAGGAGGTTCCTCAATAACCGCGGGCAGCGCGAGGCATCCATGAGCCCCACGCATGTGTAAGGGGAAGGAAAGGTTTTGCCACTTATTGTGAAGGTCATGACTTTTTGGCACCGATTTGAAAAAAAACAAACAAACAGGTTCTTGTCTCTGGTTACCCAACAGCTTCTTGCAGATAAAGAGGGTGGTTAACTAAGTGGTCAAGCCTGTGGCATGTTCTTGCAGTTGCTTAAAAGGCTTCCTTGCCACCGGGCCCGGGTTCTTGAGAAACTGGCCAGAAAAACATCTCGTTGCTTCACTTGCCCGTGTGCCAACTTGCCTTGTGCCTGCGTGGAAGTGGGAACGCAGCGGGGTTGTGGATGGGGCCAGTGACAGCATGGAAGTGTTGGATGCGCTGCCCGGCAGGGCTTTACTGCTGGAGGAGCAATGGGGAATGTCAACATTTGCACCTTCCCCATCCTTCTGCATCGCACCAGGCTGTGTTTGACCTCGGTCGTGCCCAAACCTCTGCCCAAGGCATCACTGAAATCCCAAATGTCTGAGTCCAAGGTGAGCTCTGGCAGATGGCGGTCTGCTCTGGGCTGCCTCATTGCAGCTTGTCCCACCTTGGCTACTGCCGGCTTTGCCCTGGTAGCAAACGTGCCAGCCCTTGGGCTCGCTCGTGGCTTGCCCAGCACCCCAGTAACTCACTCTGCTTTCCTTCCAGCCACCACGATGCCCCTGTCCCAGAGCAAGGCCGGGCAGATGCCATGCAGCAGTAAGGTGTGCAGGAACCTCTTTGGCCCCGTGGACCACCACCAGCTCCAGAATGACTTTGAGGACATGTTGAGGCAACAGCTGGAAGAAGCTCAGCAGCGGTGGAACTTCAACTTTGAGGCGGAGACTCCCTTGGAAGGACAGTTCAAGTGGGAGAGGGTCTTCCTGGCTGAGCAGCCACCCCAGGAGGTCCACAGCCTGGTCAAGGTCACCGGCAGTGAGAGCAGGAGCTCCTTGGTCCACAAGGTTTCCCCCAAGGACCATCTTGGGAGGATTTGCCCTGAGGGGTCTCAGCAAAGCTCAGAGGTTTGCAGGGCTGGTTCCCCACAAAACCTGAAACGTGGGCAGACCACCATCAAAGGTGAGTGCTGGAGGCTTGGTGTCACTCTGTGCATGCTTGGTGGCATTGCTCGTGTCATGGCTTTCCTGGTAGGGACAGATGGAGGGCACTTGGGTGCAAGAGCCCTGCCTGGCTCCTGGGCATGGGGAGGGGACCACCCTCCCTGTATCTCTCTCCTGGGAGAGCAGAGCCTGCCTTCCAAGGGGAAGAAGGCTGCAAACTGGGGGCCTTCTGGTTGCTGGGGGTTAGGCAGGGGGGTTACATCGGGATTGTGGGTCTTACAGCTGAAGATGCCCCAAAATAGTTCATCACCCTCAGTTCCCATGGCCTGAGCCTGTCCTCTGAGGTGAAGGGCTGAGGTGGAAGTGCAGGTGAGACCAAACACAAGAGATGGTGGAGACCCACAGGCTCTTCTCTCCAGGAACGCATGGCTTCGGGTGGGTGGCTCTAAAACTGAGTCCACCCGGGATGGGGTTTGGGGCGCTTCCCTGGGGCCACCTCCTTTTCCTACACTGCTGCTCCTGGTGGGCTGGAGGCACTTCCCAACCCTCTCTTTCTGCCTTCCAGACTTCTACAGCTCCAAGCGGAGGATCATCCCTGACAAGCCCAAGCCTGACAGGCCCAGGCTGTGACCTGGTGGTGCTTGGCTCCTCTGCCATCGGGGACAGCTGATGTGCCCTGGGGGTGCCCATGTCTCTTTCCCCCACCCTGTACCGTGTAAGCCGTCTGTATGAAGCAATGTAGAGTCTGTAGTTCCCTATTTATGAGTAGCTCTGGGGTCCTGAGGGACCTTCACTGTGTGCAATGTATAGGAGTAGCCCACGTTGAGGCTTGTAGCCCCATGGAGGGGCTGGAGGAGGACTGAAATGGGCCTGGTGGGACTAAGGCATTGCTATGCCTGCGGAGAAGAGTGTGTCTTCTGCCCCGTGTTGGTGAGGCCAAGCATTGTCCTTGCACCATCGTGCTGTCCAGCTGTGGTCCTTCCCCTGCCTGATGGCTGGCTATGGAGGACACTTCTGTCCCGGCCACCTGGTGGCACCAGATATCCTTAAGAAAGGGTCACAGATACTGATCATAGAGCCCTGGGACAGCCTGACCCTGAGGACGCCCAGTTGCTGATGGTGGTGGACCTCTTCCCAGAGAATGGACCCAGCGGTGGGAAGCCCTTGTCCGTGCGTGGAAGCAGAGTTACGCAGGGGCCGCTCCTTCCCACGGCTGCTTGGAAGAGGAAATGCTCGTCCCTGGACAGCCCTTCCTTCGGGTGACTCACCGGTGCTGTCACCCATCAGAGACGGGCTGCGGACAGTGACAAACCCGCTGTAGGTCCCCAGTGCTGAGCTTATTGTGGGACCAACGCGGTTTGGGAGGCTTTGGGGTTCCCTGGACTCTGCTGATGCAAAACCCCACTTTCTTACCTTGTTGTTGGCTTGTTGGGTTTGCCCTCCTGTTCCTGCCTCCTTCAACACTGACACCAGGCTGGGGGGCTGCCTGCTCTGGCCAGGTTGGACTGCTCACCAGCAGGGATAACACCCAAAGAAGAAACTGTAGCTTTTCTCCTGGACTTTTTCTCCTTTGGGACTGGGGGAGAGAGGACCCTCACCTGGCTCTGCGGAGCGAGAAGCTTTGGTCACCTCTGGGACCAAGGGATGTCCCGGAGCGAAGGCTGCTCGGTCCCAGCGCTGAAGGATGAGTCCCTGCTGTTGAAGGACTCAAGACTGTCAGGTCTCAGCACTTTCATGGGGTTCATCTCCTGCTTTACTGGATTTGGACTCTGGAAACCGGTGCAAGATGGTCCCAGGCAGAAAAGGAACGGGATCGACCTCCCACTTTGCACCGCGATGCACTTTGCTGTCGGTGAAGCTGGCGAGTTCCCAGCACTAAATGTTTATTTATAAAAAAAAATAAATGTAATAAATGCTATTAAGTTTATGGGGGGGGGAAATATCTGTTTGTCTATGAATGTTAACTCTGAATAAACACTTGTGTAGGGGAATGGGTGTCTCTGGGTTAATGGAAATTAATGTGCTGGGAGCGGGGTCTGGCTATGGGGAGGAGGATGCTCTGGTTGGGGTCACTCTGGGGGGTTTTGGGGTCCCTCTGGGGTGCAGCCGGGAGCTGTCTTTGGGCTGTTGAGGGGAAGGGGCTGTCGCAGCCCTGGGCCCCTCTGCAGCATGAAACATCGAAGTAGGGGGGTGTGGGGCCGAGAGGGGCAAAACCTCACCACAGCCCCTCTGCTTAACCCCACTGCCTCGGGACAGCGTCTGTGCGGTGGTCCTGCCTGTGGGATTGGTGCTGCCACTGTGTCCCCAGCAGAAGCCACTGCCACCTGTGCAGGGTCTCACTGTGGGACCCCTGTGTCAGTGTAGACTCCTCTGCTGCCCACACCATTCCCCCTTCCCCACTCTGCCCCTGGTCCCCTGCTCCTAACACCCCATGGACAAGCTCACCATGCGCCCTATCCTCTAATTTTAAAGGGGTCCCAGGTGTGCAGGCCAGTGAGGGTGACCCGTGGTGTGGGACAGGGACATGCAAGAACATATGGTGACACCACTGGTGGAAACGTGCAGCAGCAAGTCCTGGGTGGGACTGAAACTGGAGCTGCTGGAGGCCAGGGCTGAGATCCACCGGGAGTCAGGGACATCTCTGTCACCAGCTGCTGCCTCTGAGCAAGACTTCTACGTGGACCATGAGCTCAAGTTATGGTGAATGTGATAAAGGCCCTGATCTGCAGAGGATCCAGCTGAAAACGAGGGGCAATGGGTGCAAGTTGGAACAGAGGAAGTTCGTTCCAACACACGGAGAACCTTCTTTACGGTTGGGGTGGCAGAGCAGTGGCACAGGCTGCCCGGGGGGGTGTGGAGTCCCCTTCTCTGGAGGTTTTCAAGCCCCACCTGGATGCAGTCCTGAGGGATGTGCTCTGGGCAGTCCTGCTTCAGCAGGGGAGTGGGACGAGATGATCTCTAGAGGTCCCTTCCAACTCTGAACATTCCATGATTCTGTGAAAATAAAGTTTTGATGGTGACGACGACTTTGTGTCATTGTTCAGCCGAGGATCCCTAAAGCAGCTGCCTGTCCCCATAGTGCTGGGTGACACCCACGCGCGCCGATGCCCCTTGAAATGCTTGCAGAGCACCATCACCTCGGCCTTTTAGCTGCTGCTGAGTCAAGCCCTACAGAATTAGCCCTTGTAATCTTTCCCCTTACGTCAGTCCTTCCAGCCCCCTCGGCTGCGGCCAGCTGCTCCCCTCCGCTGTCACCTCCTGTTTTGTTAGGAGCGGTGGCGGTGGAGGAAGCGAGAAATAAATCAGCAAATCCTCCCTCGTTCCCTGTTTGTGGGGCGGACAGGGTCTGGCTGTGCGGTGCGAGAGGGAGCTCCCCACCGGGGCTTGAGTTTTGCACCTCTCTGGGAGACGCCAGCCCTGGACCCCCTCGTCCAGGCAGGGGAGGACTGTGTCCCCCCAGCTTTGGGGTCCACAAAAATGGCGATGGGTTTCCAGCAACTGAGGAGTGGATGGAAACTTTGCCCTTTCAGCCCAGGTTGTGTTTTGCTGCTCACCCATCCCAGCGAGGATGCCGGGGTTCAGTCTCCCACGATGGCCAAGTGGGGCTGAGAGGGGGGTCAGGCGCTTCCCCTCCTTTCCCCACAATATTCAATCTCTTTTTGCCGAGACCTGCCCAGCATCTGCCCGGCCCACCGACGTGGACTGTGTGAACCTCATGAAGTTCAGCATGGCCCAGTGTAAGGTCCTGCACACAGGTTGGAGCAATCCCAAGCACAGATCCAGGCTGGGCTGGGAATGGATGGAGAGCAGCCCTGAGGAGAAGGACTTTGGGGGTGTTGGTGGATGAGAAGCTCCCCACGAGCCGGCAATGTGCGCTGGCAGCCCAGAAAGCCCCCGGCACCCCGGGC